TTATATATACACAGTCATGATTTCCTTACAATATGTGATAATCTGACACTGTTCAAAATTCTATTTGGCCAAACCGGCCAGTACTAGAAATGCTGACCACCATTGTGCTTTCTAACTGGCTAGCCCCTTGTGTAAAGTATCTTTTTATATTATTTACCTAGAATTGTCCTAATTCCTTCCAAAATCATTTATACTGCAAATCACTGATTCTGCAAATTTTTAATTTTCCAGTGACAACGGAGGCATTCTCTAAATTTACTTTCCAATGGCTGGAACCCAGACTACTCAGATAATTTGTTCTGAAAAACTCAATACATGAATTCAAATATAAACCTTATGCATAAAAATTAAATCTACAATATCTAGTTATTTTGGAAGCTTCAAATGAACTTTATTTTGTATCTCATATATTGAACACTAACTGAGGATTAAGAAGGGAAGAACTGCTAAATTGGGTAGCCAGCAAATTATATGCTTTCTTGAAACTTAATGGCAAGCTTTCATCCCAGAAACATAGGGGGATTCTTGAGGCCTGCAGTTGCATTCCTGCCGCTCAGGGTAATCAATAAAATCTGGGGCAGGCAAGCCAGACAGGATCATTAGGGATTTGTTCCAGATTGTGAATGTTGGACAAACTGGAAGGATGAAGGTCACATCAAAAGTATAAAGATGGAGAGAGTTAGCTGGGTCGTAGAAAGACAGCATGTTGTTGTCATAGTCCAGGAGGACCCCCAGACGCTTCAACTGCGGGGGCACATCCACTAGCATTTCCTTATTGTTATGTCTCACCACGAAGTTACTATTGCAGCGAGAGAAGACCCATGAGGAAGCATTCTTGCCAATCCATTCATTCTTTGGAGCTGATTTATAGGCAATACCAATTGCATACCTATAAAACAGTAGAAAGGAGAAACAGAAACCATATTGGATATATAAGAAATAGAATACATATCCCTTCCTTAAATAGTTTACATGTAAATATATAATAGTGATATCATTCAGAGCTTTAAAAAGTTAGCAGAGTGATGAAGCAATTTCTATCCCCTAGTCCAGTAGGTTTCCTATGATTTTATGAAAAGGACTAGTTTTCATCACATATTTTTAACCTTGACATATTTGTATTATGGTGTGAACTTACTAAGAACTAACAGCAAAGGAGATAAAATAAAAATGAGATTCACTTACCATGTTGAGGAACCCATGACTACTTCCCAATAATGGCAGCCACTGTCAATGAATATATTTCCCGCTGCCCCATAGCATCCTGTGCCACTAAATCTCTCTGGGGTGTGGCTTTTCTTCAGAGAACTTTCATCTTTCTCCATCTGCAATCCATCGTTGGAGATCTTCAACTTTCTGTGAGTCATTTTGGGATCCAGTTTAAAGGGTTGACCTGAAAAAAAAAGAAAAGAAAAAGCACAATGAAGCATTTAGGAAATTATACCTTTGTCTTCTAGGACTATCACTAGCAGGGGAACTATGATCTGATTATCATTCTTGGGTTAGTGCAAGTTGGCTACAAGTAGATTATATTAAGAAAGCAGGCCAGAAGCCACAGTTTTCAATTAAATAAGAATGGAGGTGAGGTCAATCTCCCATAAAATAACTTGCATGGACGCATTTATTTTCCCACTGTGGGAAAAATGTGGATCTCTCATACAAGTATTTTGCTGGAAATCATATTCCAAGAATAGAGGAGCCAGTAAGCTCCACCTCTACCATGTATTACCAAATTAAAATGGGGCTCTCAAAGTCTAAGGTCCACAAATGTGTTTTGTACTTTACTTTTGTTTCAGTAGGTGGTTTGGGTCTTGGGTTGATTGTAGGGTTAAGGAGTGTTATCAAGTTTGAAGTGGGACAAAGTGAGGGACGCTTATGAGGCAAATGCTGCTCGAAAAAAGAAAAAAACTTGAAAAGATCTCGGCAAGAGGACAATTTTTTCTCCTCTTAAAATTGGGATGTAAATAACATAATTAGACAACTTTGTTAGAGAGACTATTCCATCATCGATGAACAAAGAAAACATTTAATGTGTAGGAGTATTCACAACAGAGTATTCCTTATAACCATTTGACAAAAGTACTGTTACCAGCAGCCAGTTGCTGGGTATCACAAAAGCTTTATTATATCAAATGCTTCTCTGACAGCCACTGTTGGCTAGCACAATGCCTATTCCCTACTTTTTCTCTTACTCAAAATCCCAGCCTTCCCTGCTGCTAGGGATGAATAATAAGATGAAAGTAGAATTCGGAGTGGCAGAAGCTTCCAGGAAAGTTTCTGTTTTCCCAATAAAGGGACAACCATTGTATGTACCAATTCTTTCTCTTGAAATGAGATATGGGGTCTGGAGGTTGCAGTGGCCATCTTGCCACCATGTGGCAATAAGTAAATGCACAAAGGGAGAAAGAGCCTGTGCCTTTTATGACGTCACAGAACCGCTGCACCAGCCCTGGACTGCTTGCTTACCTTTAATGTTCTTGCTACATGAAAGCAAGAACTTAAGGGAAAAAACACTATTTAAGCTAAAACCAATACTGTTTTTAAGCTGTTAAATGTACTCCCTGTTATTCACAATCAAATGCATTTCCAGCAGATATGGCTTCTCTGCAGTAGTTTTATTAGATTATCACAAATAATTCTCTTTCACTCAACTGTTCTTCAAGCATGGGGGTGGAGACCAGAGGAAAATCCTTCACTTAACATTCTCCCAAGCTACCGGCTATTTTATGTATTTCTTCAGCCACAAATCTCCCATGGACACTAACAAACCTCTTGCCCAAAGCATGAACTATAAGTATAAAGGTCTTCTGCCTAGTGCCACTGCTCTCATGCATTATTGTGAGTGCCTGCTCAGGCTGTGTCCTCCCTGGCATGGAGAGGAAAACAGGTCTTTCTTTCGGGAATCACCACAACATACTGTTTGTTTTTAGTCGGGTAGGTTCACTGTTCCGGCTGCCTGCTTGGTTTATGGCTTTAACAATGAAGATGTAGCGTGTTCCACTCTGGAGTCCATGTACAGTATAATGGTTTTGCTTAATATTGGGCACAATCATCCAGCTATCCACTGAGTTATACAAGCCTGTAAAACGGGGAAAGACAAGGACATCAACCAACAAGTAAGAGATAGTATAAAAAGAACACTAACAATTCAACCATAAGCCCCCACCCCCGTGAATTCATTTTGTTTGCTTTTGAGTCTTGAAAGATATGAGATGAACCAGGACTTATGATTTCACTACTTGTTTTCTCCCACTGAGCTAGGATCATGCCAGGATCCTCACTTTTGGCAATGGAGAAGCTAGCAAAACTTACTTGCTTTTTTTGGGTACTAGCAAAAGTTAAGTTATATCAATTTCCTGCCAAATAACACAGAAATGGCCACTATTCAAATCAAAGAATCATCACTGTTACAGAGTCTCTAAATCTTTACCCCAAATGTCCATTTCTCTGAGAGCTGCAACTAGCCTTGTATGGATGGAGCAGTCCAGTGCTGAGCACAGAAACATGGAATCTCAGTGTAAAGGACACCTAGACATCAAATTTCCCTCATTTTACAAGTGGGACACTCGGATGGAGAGAAGAAAGTGACTCTCCCAGGGCCATAAATAATTGGTGATGATGCTGAGAACAGAACCCTGGTTCAAGTTCCTGTCTTTTACTCCTAGTCCAGTGTTCTCTCCACTACATGACAAATTCATGGGGTGAATGACAATATTCTTTTATCTTTGCAAGGTGGTGAGGCTTTCAGGGCTTGTGATTCCACCTTTCCACCCCATCTTCTGCCTTACTTCTCAAACTTAACATGTATGTTATAGACCAAGGAGATGACATGATAAGCAAAGAAGATATTATCTCCTCACTGCACTTACATATTTATTACCCCTTTCTAGCTCTGACTCTTACATTACTCTGGAGTCAGGTGGTCCAGGAACAAACACAGTTTCCTGGAACCTTTTCCCTTCCCAAGTAGGGAAAGGGATCAGAAATCTAGGCTTCTGCTTCTGAAAGCTCTTAGACTATAAACATTGGCTTAAACAGGGGAAATATGCATCATTAAAAACATGAATTTGGCTAGCTTCCAGTAAAAGAGGGACCAACATTTTCATCTGTGGTTTATCTAGACTTCTCTCTTCTGTTGTCTGTTTTTCAGTCAGTTTGCTACTTTTAAGCACAGTTCTACCACAGTGTGGAAAGAAAAGGGGAAGAAAATGAGCATTGAATTTAGTTACTTCTGTGTAGTTCTAGTAATGGATTTAGTGAGATTGAAATTTGGAAATAATAAATCATGAATCTTTTGCAAGAACTCTGATCAAATGGTTTAACAATTAATTTGGGAGGAAGTAGAAGTAGCCTAAATTAAAACTAGAAAAATAAACATAATGGGGACAAACAGACTTGCTATAGAAAGAAGAATAAGAATGTGGAGATACATAGTGATTCTTATGAAAAGACTATAAGGAGAAGGTCTAAGAACAATGCTTGAGGCCTTATCTATATGCCAATATGCAATATGAATCATAAACTGCACATGAAATTTTAATATAAAGAGGAAAATATATAATCTTCTCAATACATTCAACCATACAAAACAAGCAAACAAATAAAAACAAACTTCAAAATTAAGTATATATAGCTGTGAATAAAGAATGAGGATGTTGTCTATGAGCTACCACAGAATGATTTCCAGGATATATGGTCAATTTAACAAAGAAAATTATACAAGATCATACATACTATGCTACTTCTTTGAGAGAAAGAAAAGCAAATAAGAAACAAACTACATTTCTTGGACTTACAGAACAACAGTAACAACAGGATGGATAACCCAGAAAATAATGAATTTGGTTACCTACAAATAAATTTAAAAAAAAACTACTACTCACCCTGAAAATATCAACTGAAAAAAATGATAGGGAGGGAATGACACTGTACTGTTAGGAATTTGTTTCTGTCATGATATGAACAAAGCAATTCTGAAAGTATTTTAGAAATAGTTTGAGATTAAACAAATAAATACATCTATTGACTTTGTTGGGAGCCAAGGTTCTCACAGTGGAAGAGGGAATAATATGAAATTAGGGAAGACAAGAAAGAACTTGTGAGGATGGATTGGAACTGGGGGTTTGACATGACTGTGTGGCTTCTAAAATATGAACAATCTGGCCTCCCTTATTATCGGGTTCCACATCTGAGGAATCAACCAATCACAGCCAGAAACTATTTTTAAAAATTGCATCTGTACTAAACATCTACAAACTTTTTACTTGTCATTATTTCCTAAACAATAGAGTGCAACAACTACTTACGTAGCATTTATATTTTATTCTCTAGAAAGGATTTAAAGTACATGGGAGGATCTGCATAGGTTATATGCAAATACAATACTATTTTTATAAGAGGTTTGAGCATCTGGAGATTTTCTATCCTCAGTAGGTCCTGGAATCAATGCCACATGAATACCAAGAGATGATATATGCTTTGTGTATGCATACAGATGTGCACATATGTAGAGTGTATAATATGCATGCATATTATATGTGTCTGCATATGCTTACTTATGTTAGTCTCTAGTACCCATCTCTTGGTCTAAATCTTTTCCTCCCACTAAAAGGAACCAGAGCTCCTTATAAAAATGGCTGATTTCAAGGCGGGTTACAATAACCTTAGAGCATTTTATTATGCCAGAAAGTAAGGAAATATTCATGAAAATAATGTGAGAATAGCCTAAGGACCTATGAGTTACCTTGAAAGGCTTCCACTGGCTAAATCTGGACAATTTCAGTACCAAAATAAGTAATGGCAGTAAAGAATCTTTGACAGAAGAAAATTCAAGGGTCCATAGTGATAAATAAATAAATGATGGGAAATAGAGAGTGGGGTCTAGGCTTACAGTAGAATGTTGGGTATCAACTTGTAAATGTGGGAGTACTCAGTTAAAAAACCATAATTTTGCAATCATCATAGTAAAGACTGGATCTGGCAGTAGTCATCAACTGATGCTAGAACAGTGGTGGAGAGGACATGGATTTGATGAGGAAGCAGAATATTTTCGTGATCTTAAAGTATCACCACACAGGTTGCTTACTAGTGGCAAAAGAAAAAAAAAAACAGGAACTAAAGAGTGAAGAAATCAGATAACATTTTGAAGCATCAAGAATGAAGGGCAAGGCCGGCGATTTAGCTCAGTGGTTCCACTGCCTGCCTCGCATGCGCAAGGACCTGAGCTCAATCCCTGCTACTAAAAAAGAATGAAGGGCAAATAGTTATCAGGTGCCTCCAGATATCGCACCCTAAGAAGGACACAAAATCACTTATGCAGTATTCCAGACATCAAGGTATGACCTGGATATAATTGTGAGGAAACATCAGACCAACCCAAAAGAAGAAACACTAAAATGAATAAAAGAGCACTTCAAAAATGTTAATATTATTAAAGAAAAGGAAGAAATGCAGAAATATCCCAGACTAAAGGAAAGTAAAGTGATGACAATTAAATGTAATATCCAATCGTAAACTATAAAGGACAACATTGAGCCCTTCATATGTTGTAGTGACTATTATTGGGTCAATTATCAAAATGGGAATATGAGTGGTGGTTTAGATAAAAGTGTTACATCAGTATTAAATTTCCCTAAAGTTGGTGATTGTACTGTGGTTATGTAAGAGACTCTCCTTATTCTTAGGAAACATTTATTGAAGAATTTAGGGGGTGAAAGACCATGACATATACAATTTACTTTCAAATCTTCTGGAAAAAAATAAAATTTTAACAAATGATAAAGGAAAATGGGACAAAATATTGACAGTAGGTGAATCTGGGTAAACAATATGTTGGCATTCTTTGTGCTAGCCTTGCAACTTTTCTGTAATTTTGAAGTCAGTTCTAAACTTTAAAAGGTAAATATATGATCTTGTGGCTATCAGTGAGATTTGGTAAGATGGGACTTATGACTGAGTTGTGGTAATGGAAGCATACCTCTTGTTCAAAAGGGAAACATCACAATATGAAAATCTAAGAACCTGAATTTAAATGTGTGGTGGACAGCATTTACATGAGAATGAAAAGAAAGGGAAACAGAAGTTGTATATATCTGTATGGCAGTATATTATAGACTGCCTGGCCAGACAAAGGTTATGGCCACTGCTTTCTAAATGCAAAACACAGAATTGAAGTTGGGTATGTTGATGCATGCCTATAGTCTCAGCACTCAGCAGGCTGAGGTAGGAGGATTGCCGTAAGTTTGAGGCCAGTCTGGGCTACATAGTGAACTCATGGCCAGCCTGCATGACATAGCAAGACCCTGTCTCAAAAACACACACTAAACAAATACACAACAGGGCCGGGGATTTAGCTCAGTGGTTTCACCACCTGCTGCGCAAGCACAGGGACCCAAGTTCGATCCCCAGTACCAAAAAAAAAATAAAATTAAATTAAAAAAAAATAAATACACAACACTGGAATAGAGGAAAAATAATACAGTGCAGTAATTAGGAAGATAAACATCTGTTAAAATTCTCCTTTAGCTAACGTCATCATCTAAAACATTACTGGTTAGGTAATTTCAAATCTTAAAAGAGGTGGGAAGAAAGTTAACAATGAAGGAAGTTTTAAAAAGGGGGAGAACCAATTCTCCTGACTTAATTCTAACCAACAAGACAAAAATTTCTGAATAAAGAAAATGTGAAAAAAACTCAAAGAAAAGTAGTTCTCAGAAACTGGGTTTAGTCAACAGTGGTAGGCCCAATGGGTAGGTAGGACTGGGACATTGAGTTTTCATAATTATTTCCATTAAAACAATTTTCCAATGCCCTCCGAAATTTTGCTTCAAGGCTCAGCCTTTGTTCTTGTCCTACTGAACTCTTCTATCAACAACTGGAGGAAGACATAGAAGACAGGCTGGGAGGGAAATGTATTGGAAGGTCAAATTTGGATCCAAAAGGATCTTGGCATGCTAGAATAAAGGGGCAAAGCTATGCAGGTAAACATAATAGGGATAAATTCAAGGTGCAAAGTTTCAGCTTAGACAACTGAATAGAAACAGGATTTAGAATACAAAGGGATTTCAGTTGACTATACACTCATAAAGCAGTCAATAATCAATGTGGTTGTCAATGAAAAAAAAAGTACAGGGCAAGAGAGCAGCAAGTCATGAAAAAGAGAAATACAGCCATCCTCTGTGTTTGTCAGATCAGTTTTAGAGTACTGTTTTCACTCTTTTGAAAGTATACTTTATAAAGCACTATGACAAACAAGAATGTCCATAAAAAGGATATCAAGATGATAAAGGGTCATATGAGGATCAATTGAAAGAACTGAGGATGTCTAGCTAGGAAAAGAGAAGATTTAGAAGGGAAATAGGAGTTACCTAAAATCATCTGAAGAACTATTACGTGAAAGATGGATTAATTTTGTGAATGAGGCACAAAGGGCCAAATCTAGGACTAATTGGTAGCTGTGGTTTGATTCAAGGACCATCAAACATGAAGTCTAACAGGCTTGGGCTCTAATCTCTATCATTTCATAGCTCTGCAATCTTGGGCAACTTACTTAACTTGAGCCTCAATTTGTTCATTTATAAAATACAGAGTCTGCCCAAAAAATGTATACACATTTCAGGAAGAGAAAAATAGTGATGTTTTTTCAACAGATGGTGTTCCCTCATATGGGGAACCGTAGAGGATGCCATATATCACAGAAAACCCACTACACTGCTGGCCTTAGAGAAGAAATTGAAAATGCAGCAATTTCAATGACCAATGCTACCCAAGCAGCAGTTGGCCAAATTAATAAATATCTGGAAGCTAATCACCACCACTTTGAAAACCTCTTGCAATTGTAGAAGCCAAAGATAACTTGTATTAATCTCATGATGTCTTAATAAAGTTAGTACTATTCTGCCACCTGCCTCGCAAGCACAAGGTCTCGGGTTCAATCTCCAGTACCAAAAAAATAAAATAAAATAAAATAAAATTTTAAAAATAAAGTCAGTACTAAAATATTTATACAAGCTTTTCTTTTCCTGAAGTGTGTGTACATATTTTGGTGGAATCTGTAAATCAAATATCATCGATTTCATAAGGCTAAAAATTCATAAGGACTAAATGAGATAATATGTAGGAGTGTTAATAAATGGCAAAACACAAATTATTATTGTCATTATTATTTACTAAAAGAAAAAGGCCTCTTATAAGGAGGCACTGGCAATTATTTACAGCTGTACAACAACCAAATGGGCTGTTTGCTAGAAGTGAGTATCCATCACTGGTAATGTTTAAGCAAAGAAAGAACAGTCATTTACTAGATGTCTGGCTGAAGAGAAGATTAGGCTAGATAACATAGGGTCTATTCCAACTCTAAAATGTTATGATTCCAACACTATTAAGAATTATCCTTTAGCTGGGGATTTAGCTCAATGGTTCCAGTGCCTGCCACGCAAGCGCAAGGTCCCAAGTTCGATCCCCGGTACAAAAAAAAATTAATAAATAAATAAATAAACTAAAAAAAAAAAAAAAGAATTATCCTTTAGGCTTTTCTTCACAAAGGGCTATATAGCCTTTAAAACAGAGGTATGACCTTTAGATCTTTATCATTTCTTGGACTTGATCTTAACTCCTAGGAGATAACTGCTCTCCCCATATCAAGAAGAAGCACAGTTCCTGGCTCTAAAACGTTCCAGAACATGGCAGACGTGTACAGAAAAGCACATTGATGAGGCCTTAGACTTCTTGACTTCTGAACCTGAAGAAACACCCAGGAACACAGCTAAGTGGGCCAAGTGGCTCAGGATGGAGCTGCACGAGGCAAGTGTTTGACTCCAAATGCCCTCTCATCTCCCAAATCCATTATTGTTACAAAACAGATTTCTGTCCCAGAATTGTCACAAAACCAGAAATGGAAGCCTATAAGAACAGCTTAGTTACAAAAACTCTCATGCTGGCCTGTGAGGTCAGACATAAGTCAAATCACAAAGTTAAAAAAAAAGTATTAATTTGCAGCTATGCAGATGTAACGTAAGATGGGAAAAAGTCCCAGTCTGGAATCCAGCTTTGATTCTGCTTTTGTTTCTATTCTCCCCTACCCCAGACCATTGAGGGGAACTTTCACCTCAACTTTCACCTCTTGGCTGGCAAATGATGAGTTAAGTTACTACTCTGCCTTGTCTCACTCCAATTCACCAGAAGATGAATTCATCATAACACATTAGCTGAACAACTGCTTGTGTGTGTGTGGTACTAGAGACTGAACCCAGTAGTGCTCTACCACTAAGCTACAACTCCAATCCTTTATATTTTTATTTTGACACAAGCTCTCGTTAAATTGCCCAAGATGGCATGAAACTCAGAATCCTCCCACCTCAGCCTTCCAAGTAGCTAGGATTACAGGTGTGCACTACCACTTCCAGGAACAACTGCTTTTTTAAACATTTTTCATTTTGTGGTCGACTGACTCACGTGTTTTTATATTTACTGTAATTCTTCATGGAAAGGCAAAATGAGTAGAGTGAAGAGTAGTAGAGCAGAAGGCCTGTCGCTATGATCACTGATATGAATGGGTTTGGTAGAGGATGTAATTGCCTTTACACATAATATATTTTATCATGATAATGAAGTGAAAGAAGTAGTCAGGGAGCGAGATGTTCACACACATGGAACCAGAAATCATGGTGGTTAAGCTACCTAGGAACCAATACTGAGCAGTGCTCTCCTTGACAGAGTAGAATGGCATGGATTAATTGAGAAAAGGCTAAGGATTACAAATGGATTACAAAAACAAATGGGAGTGGCCCCAGTGACTGCCCACCAAGGAAATCCACAACTTGCTTGTCGCCTATAAGTAAGGTCTTTGAAATGCCCTGGGAAGCTTATACTGTCCATGAAAGACTATACTAAACAACCTAACATGTCTTACAAACACTTGCCTCGTGGCGCCCCGGCCAATCTTGAGCAGCTTACTGCTTCCTTACATTTCCTTATCTCTGGCCACAGGCCCCAACTACACCATGACTTACTGATGAAGTTAGCCTGGCCAGTGAATATGGTGTACTGAAGCTCATAGGAGCTGATGCTGAACTCATCATCCGAGATCCAGTGGACTGTAATGGTGTCATGGGAAGCAGTACAGAGTTCCTCTCGGATAGAGGGTGGGTTGGGGGCTGTAAGGAAAGGTAGAAAAGAAGGTAAGGAAAGCATACTATCTCTTCTGGAATTTTATAATCCTTAATCTTCCTACCTAACCTGGTATCTCTTGGAGAGGTAGTTTTTGTTTTTGTTTTCAATGTTAAGGATTGAACCTAGGGTCCTGTGCCTACTAGGCAAGCATTCTACCACTGAGCTACATCCTCAGCAATTTTACAATTTTATTTTGAGACAGGGTCTCCCTAAGTTGCCAGGTTGGTCTCCAACTTGTGATCCTCCTGTCTCAGCCTCCCAAGTAGTTGGGATTACAGATGTGCATCATCACAACCAACTTCTTTTTTCTTTTCTTTTAGACATTTATTGGCTCTTAGTTCTAACACTAACAAATGTACTCTTTCACTTCTGACAGCTGTTTCTTATAAGCAAATCCTGTCTAGAAAACTAATTCTGAGTCCTAACAGCTCTGAGACTTCATGTGATGCTTTGTAAGAGATAAGAAAATAAACATGAAAACTAAAACCAAATTTAGGGAGGATTAAGTCTCAGTAGAACTAAGGTAATTTACACTTAAGGAAAAGAAAGATCAGGAAGGATCACATTTATTTGGCATTCCTTATTTCCTAAAATTGTCTGCAAACCAGGTATCTCATATCATTTTACTGGCCTGGTGATTAACAAGTTGCCTTAAAATCATTTGAGTAGGACCTGTTCCCATGTGGTACACTATCTAATATTCTCTAATTCCCATTTGAGTTCTGCCCTTCTAACAAGCAATAATATGTAACTGATAGGCTCATAATGAGAAATTCATCAGCAACTTCTTGTGATTTACTTTTAATAGTAGATGATATATCCACTCTGCCCCCAGAACTATTTGACAAATCATCTTTTTTTCTGTTATAGGGGCTCAAATATATTCTATCTAAAAAGATACACGTATCATTTTAAAGATTATAAAAACACTTTTAGCGTATTATCCTTTTCAGAGTATTTTAAACTAAAGTACACCAAAAGAAAACAAATTAAAAAAAGGAAAGCACTGTATTTCCATACCTGTTAAATAGTCAAGCCCCTCCAACAGTTTCTTTTCTCTAGAAAAATCTAAAGCAAAGTTTTCAAAGGCATCATTAAAATTGATGTCTGGAATCAGAACTTGAGAAGATGCAGTTGCCATAGCGACTCTGAAAAAAAGGAAAAGTACATCAATATTCATCAAAATTGGTTTGCAACCTTCATCCAGTGTTTGATTTCGGTCTAAGGAAGTAAAAATACTGTATCTGTGCTTTCTCAGTGGAAACCATTTCAATTTAATCTTCAGGAACCAATTAAGAGACATAGCATATTTATTCATGTATGTTCACCCCTCAAACAGATTCCCCCATTTTCTCTTAATTTTGAGAAGTAAATTCAGGATTTTTCCCCTTCTGCATTATTTTCCATCTAGCAGGCAACATCAAAACTAGACCTCTGAAAACTTAGTAAGAGCAGTTTGAGAGATTCTCCCTCTCTATTTTTTTATGCTAATCAAGAAACCAACATGCTGGGTTAATATTGTCTCCCAAATACTGCCCTTTATTATATCTTTTATAATGTCTGTATTTCATATTCACTAATTGCAAAATTTTATCTCTCCAACTAATGCTGAGACTCAAAAATGAGGTTCATATTTTGTACTTCTTGTATCTTCCACAGACCCTAAAACACTGTTGGATATATAGTGAATAAACAATTGATTAATGAATAACTGAAAGACTAGTGAAGATACAATTGCTAACATTTATTGAGTGCTTAATATATGCAAAGCACTGTGTATGCACTTCACATACATTATCTAATTTCTTCCTTGCTGTATCCCTGTGTAGTAGATGCTATTTTCATTTTGCAAGTCAGATAGCTGACACATTGTAAAGCTAAGTAATTTGCCCAAGATCACACAATCAGTAAAGGTCAAAATATAATTAAGCCTATGTCTACCTAATTCTAAACCCTATACCCATAATCATTTAGACTATTCCTTTTCTTCTTCTCCTGTCTCCCCACCTTCTCTTCTTCCCCTCCCCCCTCCTCCTTTGGTACTAGGATTGAACCAGGGCATTGTGAAATGCAGGAAAACACTCTATCACTGAGCTATATCCCCAGCCCTTTTTAGATTTTATTTTGTGACAAGGTCTCCCTAAATTTCCTAGCCTGGACTCATACTTGCAATCCTCCTTCTTCAGCCTCTGGAGTAGCTGAGATTATAAGTGTGCACCACCATGCCCAAAGAGACTGTTTTTTTTAACTTAAGTATACTTTTCATCAGCAATTCTCAACCATGGTTACACATCGGAATTATCTGGCAGAGCTTTGACAAAACATACATATTTAAGTCCTTTATCAGACCTTCTGAATCAGCCAGTGAAGATTCTTAGACTTGCAAATGACAGTTTAAAAGAAACATTAACTTGGCAATAATAGGCAGGTTAAAGTGGAAAGGAGCTAAGAGTATAGGAAAATCAGAAAGGTAACTTTTATGGTGAATCAGTTGTGAGGAGATGGGGAGTTGAACAAATATATATCCTCATGCACATAGTCCCTGCTAAGATCTATGAAAAATATCTCTTGGCTATTTTTAAAAATAGAGATGCTTCAGGAATAAACTGCAGACAAGCAACAAATGAAAGACTAACTCAGTACAATCTTTTTTTTTTTTTTTTTTTGCGGGACCAGGGATCGAACTGAGGACCTTATGCTTGCAAGCCAGGCCCCGTGCCACTGAGCTAAATCCCCGGCCCTTCTAACTGAGTACAATCTTAAGGTCTCACACTGAACAACCAGTCTTCTAGGATTTGGTGAATAAGGAGTTAACTTCTTTAAGGTAAGACTTACACCAGAAAATCGGCTCATGTAATTTCTTTCTGGCTTTCTCAGTCTTCTTTCTTCCATCCATCCACCTATCCATCCAAAACTTAGTGAGCACAATTAATGTGCCAAGCACTGGAGATACACAGAGAAAACAAGTTTGCTATGGTCCTTGCCCTCACAGAACTCACAGGTCATGGAGGATCCAGACATTAAATAGGCCATACAAAGTAGAGCAAACACAAGAGTCACCTACCAGAGAGTTGGGAGCTAAGGGAAATCTCCCGCAAGGAAGTAAATGACCTACATGATGAATAAGATTTACCTATGCAAAGGTTATTTGGCTACACATGTTCTTTCTTCCCAGAAGGCTAGAGAATGAGACAAAGTCATGTAGGACTTTGTAGGCAAAGTTGTCAACTTTCGCCTTTATCTTAAGAATAATGGAAGCCACTGAAGCATTTTAAGCAGGAGTTGTATACTGAAATTTATGTTTTAAAAAGAGTATTATGGCTATAGTAGATGGATTAGAAAGGGTCAAAATTGGAAATAGGCAGACAAAAAAATTGGTTTTTTGAGACACAGTCACGCTATGTAGTTCAGGCTAGCCTTGAACTCACTATGTAGACCAGGCCAGCCTAAAACTCCAGGTGACCCTCCTGCCTCAGCCTCCCAAGTGCTGAGATTACAGGTGTGTGCCCCTACATCCAGCTAAGGCAGACCATTTAAAGTGCCTAGGAATAAGCGACAAGTAGAGTGGTAACAAGAGTATAGACAAATGAAACACAAAGAGTTAATTCAGAAAAAATGAAAACAAGTGGTCAAAAAATACATTAAAAAGTCCAACTACATGAGAAATTAAAAAAATGTAAATTAAAATGAGACAGCAGTTAGATTACGAATAATGACAATACAAGAGCTTTTCTTTTTGGTACCGGGGATCAAACTCAGGACCTTGCACTTGCGAGGCAGACACAGTGCCACTGAGCTAAATTCCTGGCCCTAAGAGTTTTTTATTCTATAATGCCTGCATAGTTTAATTCAGACTAAAATTGATATGTTTTAGAGGCTAATTTATCATTAAATATTAAAATTAGCCAGGCATGGTGACATACACCTATAATCTCAGCACTTGGAGGAGGCAGTGAAACAGCATCATGAGATCGAGGTCAGTCAGGCACTGTATCAAAAAACCAAAAAAGTTCAAAATCAAATAAATCAAATTTTCTTTTTTTTTTTTTGGTACCAGGGATCGAACTCAGGACCTTGTGCTTGTGAGACAGGCGCAGCACCAGAGCTAAATCTCCAGCCCAAAATCAAATATTCTTTGACATTATAGCTATACTTAAGAAAATTTTTACTAAGGAAATAATTGAGATATATGCAAAGATACAAAACTACAAGGGCATTCAACGTGGTATATGTAAATCAACTGTCTAATAATGATAACTGAGTTAAGTATTGTATTATACATCAAAAGATGAAATATAATGGAGCCACTGAAAATCAGGTTTTACAATGATACCAGAAAAGTTAATGATATATTAAAGTTCCAGATACAAGCTATAATACAGTATATGTGACATGACCTTATGTTTGTGAAATATATACAACTATCAAAATACCACAGTATATTCCCAAATCTTAACAGTGGCTGAAAGGTTCAGAATGAGCTAAAAGTGACAATGTAGGATGACACTCCACACACACGCATACCCCCCACACACACAGCACACACACAACCGATCTATCTTTCTGTGTGTTAAAACACAACATCAGCATCTTGGTACTGTCTTTCAAGGCCTTGATCTCTACTAGAAATAATATAATAAATGCCATTTGAAGGGGAAGGGGATATCTTTCTCAGCTAAAATTTCATTTTATCTGAAGTCTTACATCTTAACACAATACAATGAGTAATGGTAGGGAGGAATTTCAGACCCTGCGAGAGTCTAGTGAGAAAGACACTTGGGTTAGGTAAGTCATACCATACAGATCGCTATTTTTTCCACATACACCATAGGCCAATGATGGCTAACCTTTAGAGATGAGTGCCCAATCTGCAACTCCAAACCCACTTACTTATCACAAAGTGCCAACACTGCAATTATACATGAACATTGAGGTTTTAGTTTAGAAAAAACAACTCATACATTAACATCTTTTGTTTTAAAAGACAAACAAGACAAGTGCTATAGTTTCAGCCACCACTGCCATAGGCTATACTTGAACCTATGAAAAGAAGACTGACATAGACAGTTGGGAATCCTCAACATGTTATTTGGGGTTTTTTTTCTCAACATGTTATTTGATGGTAATTTAATGGTAATAAAGCCCTGGGAGCTAAGGGTTTGCAATAAGAACGTGCAGCAAGAGAAGAGAACATCTTAAGACAGAACCAGGAAGAATGATAGCATTAAAAGAATGGATCAAGGAAGAGTTGCTCTCAAAGGCAAAATATATCACACAAATTAGGAAACCAAGAGTATTCATAAAAGCTAAGGGCAGAGCAATTTCAAGTAAAAATGGTCAGTAGGGACAAATATTACTAACACATGAAGTAAGATGAAAGAGTAAGATGAAACAAAGAGGAGCTATTGTATTTATCAAGATTTGGTGACATTGAATATTTTGAATGATGTAAAAGTGAGAGAAAACAGTTTGGAGGGTTGAATACTAACTGAAAACAATTAAATATAGTGGTTTAAATATATATTTTAGGGGCCGGGGATTTAGCTCAGTGTTCTGCCACCTGCCTCTCAAGCAGAAGGACCAGAGTTCAAGCCCTGGTATCCCCCCCCCACCAAAAAAGCTATATATGTTTTAGTTCTGCTTTCAAGAAATCCCACTGAAAGGGCAAAAAATAAAACAATATAAATCCACAAAGGCAAAGAAAATGGAAAGAGATGCCAGCAATTAAGAGATTTTCAACAAATGTTTGAAAGCTAGAAAGGGATGGATGTGTGGTAACCAACAACAGACCAGAGAAAGCTGGATCAGGAAGCCAACAGAGAGCTGATTTAGTGCCACAAAGTTGAAAGTTTGTAGAAGGAACGGCTAGACCTCCAGATCCACTCAACCGAGATCGCCCTTCCTTCACATTGGCAAGAGCCGTGAGGTTTACTTTCTGTAGAGCTTTGACATTACACTAAAATCAGTTTTAAAACTCCACTCCCTTACCCTATTTGGCTCCCAGAATACTGGCATCCAAGCTCACAACCTCCACCCTCACAAATATCAGGAGACTGGAGGATCCCCTCAAGGGAAACTGATCCAAGAGAAAACACCTACAAAACCAACACTTGAGGTCCTTCAATAAAAAATAAACAACTGACACTCT